AAAACTCTTGTTAATCACAACATAGTATTTGCTCGATGTATTGCGCATGTAGTTGGTATTTATTCCAACGACTACTTCAATTTATGCAGCCAATACGTCATTTTATCTTACAATAAATCATACCTCAAATACTATTGGATTATTTTGTTTAAACATTGCTCAACAACAAAATAGTTATCCACCTTGCCTGTTTAAGACACTCTAGTGAAAGATTGTATCATTATTTGTGAGTTATCAAATTGTAAACAAGGATGTGAAAAATAAATGATTCAATATTACACTACACACAATTTAACTTAAGTTAAGATGTCACCACTAGTCATAACCTGTCAATCTAGAAGATACATGCATGTTCCAAACGGCCGCCGAGATCTCGATGGGAGCGAGCGAAGCACGAGACTTGTTTCTGTTTCTCAAATAGTGTTCCAATACTATGGTCAAATGAGTCACGGAGAACAGTCGGCGCGATAATGGTAACGAATGGAACACTATGTTATAAGGGTAAAACAAGATTCTGGACTATCTCTCTCCTAAGGGGTCTCGGCGGCAATTTGTGTCCAATGACTATTGTAAGTAGATTTACCACCCACATAGTTACGAGCTTTTGTTCACTGTATATGTACAAATAAAAAAAAGTTTTATAAATCAGACATATTTCTTATTGTAAGTAATAATTATTTGGAAGACTGAATTTAATAACATTTCGACTACATGATGTTAACATACATCACATATTATGTGACTCTTAAACATCTAAATTGTTTCCATGGATGTTTTTAAAATATTATCAAGAAGTCTCAATGAGTATCAATAACCCACATTAAAACGTTCATTCACTTATCCTGACATGCACATGTATTATGTATGCAACTTATATAACTCATATAACGACAAACCAATGTGCGTTTTTAAAACGAGCTATTATCACAGTGATATCGTCACAGGTCTCTTTGAATTTAAATGCGCACTTCAGAGTATACAAGTAAACTGATGATATATAATTAAAACCTACATATCAAAAGTGTATGCTGGCACTATTTGAGAAATATAATCTACGGTTTAGTTGAAATCATACACGTAAAATGTAAACAGTTATAAAAAAAAACAAGGTATGCAAAAGCCAGACAAAACGCTCGGTAAAACCAAAGACTATATCTTCTCTATAGTCTTTGGTGAAACCGTTCTGAAGTTTTCATTTCAATGAAGCATTCAAAAAGACGACAGGTGAATTGTTAAAGCGCGAGGGTCGTCACGTGCGCACGCGCGGGAATCGAGTCCCACGCGACGATAACAACACACGTTGAAACCGCAAAGGCTCATGGGTAGACGCTTGTTTGTAAACAATGACACGCTATGGCTATCTGACGCATGCGCAGGTGACGACTCCCCCGCTTTAAGCACAATTCACTACAATATGGCGTGGGTGGTAATGACGAATAATCTAGAAGGTTGTAGGAGATAGTGTAGAACTTCTGAGTAACTTTGTTTTTTGCAAATACAGAAGAAAATTTCTTAACACGTCAAAGAAAACTGAAAACAATTGATAAATGTTATCTGCAGAAAATGCAGATATAAGATCGGTATCAAGAGTTCACGTAAACCATCTTAAACACTTCATCAATAGCTACTATTGTATTCATTATTTACTGCTATCGTTTATACATTATTACGTAACATCATGTGATTCTCAACATACTTTTAGAGGTCATACAACCAACCAAACTGTAAATCCTAAGAACGCTGCAAAAAATATGATGCAGAAAAGTCTGTTGAGAACCTTGGCAACCATCTTCCAATCCTCATCGATATTCTGCAAAAAAAGACAGATGATTTAGGAATAAAGTGTATATTTAGGCCATCACATAAATACATGAACCATCCCAACATGAGCCATCACATCATGACATGAACCATCACATCATGATATGAACCATCACATCACGACATAGGTCATCACATCACGACACGGGTCATCACATCACGATATAGACCATCGCATCACGACATGGGTCATCACATCACGATATGGGTCATCACATCACGATATAGACCATCACATCACGACATGGGTCATCACATCACGATATAGACCATCACATCACGATATAGACCATCACATCACGACATGGGTCATCACATCACGACATGGGTCATCACATCACGACATGGATCATCACATCACGATATAGACCATCACATCACGACATGGGTCATCATATCACGATATGGGTCATCACATCACGATATAGACCATCACATCACGACATGGGTTATCACATCACGACAGGAGTCATCACATCACGACATGGGTCATCACATCACGACATGGGTCATCACATCACGATATATACCATCACATCACAACATACTTCATCACATCACGACATGGGTCATCACATCACGATATATACAATCACATCACGACATGGGTCATCACATCACGACGTGGGTCATCACATCACGACATGGGTCATCGCTTCACGTTATAGACCATCACATCACGACATGGGTCATAACATCATGACATGGATCATCGCATCACGATATAGACCATCACATCACGACATGGGTCATCACATCACGACATGGGTCATCACATCACGATATAGACCATCACATCACGACAAGGGTCATCACATCACGACATGGGTCATCACATCACGATATATACCATCACATCACGACATGGGTCATCATATCACGACATGGGTCATCACATCAAGACATGGGTCATCACATCACGACATGGGTCATCACATTACGATATAGACCATCACATCACGCCATGGGTCATCACATCACGATATAGACCATCACATCACGACATGGGTCATCACATCACGACATGGGTCATCACATCAAGACATGGGTCATCACATCACAACATGGGTCATCACATTACGATATAGACCATCACATCACGCCATGGGTCATCACATCACGATATAGACCATCACATCACGACATGGGTCACCACATCACAACATGGGTCATCACATCCTGACACGGGTCATTACATCACGACATGGACCATCACATAGGATTGATACTGATAATATGGATAACAGACATTATGTTATAATGTCAATTCCAACAATTCAATCTAATATGTCTAATTAAGAATAACAGTAAATGGATTACCGAAGTTTGTTTCTTTGCATTCTGTTTTCTCAGTTCTTCAATTATCTGGTCCAGTTTGTTCACGACTTTAATCGCTAACATGTCATTCTGAACAGTAACCAGATCAATTCCTTCGGTCTTGTAAACATGTTCCGAATCGAGGCTTATCAT